GATTTTATTGATCATTAACGAAATTTATTAACGGCAATTTAATTTTTGAGATTGTGGCCTCTGATGTCTGTATTATGGTTCCAAATATTTGTATATTCTGATATTGTATGAAATGCAAAATGATCACAAAATATAAAACTTGTAGCTATAGAAGTTGAGATTGTATGTAACTAATGGTTATTAATTTTGTCAGTCTTGCTCGTTGCGACGAATTGATTAACAATGAAAAAATGGAAGTGTGGGCACCTCAGTCTTGGTGTGCTCTAGTACGAGAATAAATTAGTTGTCGTTAGGGGATTTGAGAGTAAAAGTGATAATTCATTCAAAAGGAATAGAATATGTACGAAAGTTTGTAACCTTTTTGCCTTTAGACCAAATCCTTTTTTGTGGACCTTAAGATAGGGGTGACATGACGAACGAATGATAATGAGCACATAGGACATGTGAGCTACGGTTTTTTGGATTCCCAGCTTAAATGATGTATCTATTCTACGTATTTATGAGTTGTTAGATGTTTATCCTAGGGTAATTAGTATATAACGTTCTTACTTTTCACTATTATTTTGGAAAATATCTTTATATTTCATTTTTAGGTATTTTATATTCACTTTTATTGCGTAAAACGTCATTTTTATCAATTTTCTCAATAAAAAGTTGTGAAATAATGAATATAATCTTATATTTATAAAAATGAAAAAGAAAGCACTAATTGCAATCATAATACCGATTTTTTTAACAAAGTGCAAACGTGTCCCCAAATAATTTAATAAAAGGATAATTAACATATAATATTCCTACATTTCACTATTATCGTGAAAAACGTCCATATTTTTCCTTATATATATACACCCTTAACTAGCATGATTCATCATTTCTATTCATTTTCATTCAATTTCTCAATAAAAAGTTGTGAAATGACAAATATACTCTCATATATAAATAATAATAAAAAACTAATTGCAACTATAGTTCCAAATTAAAAAAAAAAAATGCAAACGAGTTTCAAATGAATGATTAAAAAATTAAAAATTATTATTTTTAAAATAAAAGTGCAAATAAGTTTCAAATAAATTATTAAAAAATTAGAAAATTTAAAAGTGCAAAAGAGTTCCAAATAAATTATTAAAAATTTAAAAAATAAATTTCTTTTTTTTTAATTTAAATAGGAGTATATATTTATTGTTTACAGCTTTTATTGAAAAATTGGAGCACTTAAAAAAAAATTGGGACTATAAATACAATTAATTCTTTTTTTTTTGTTTTATTTAAATAGAAGAATATATTCATCATTTTACTACTTTTAATTCGGAAAATGTATTAAAATAACATTTTTGTGCAATCAAAGGTGAAAATGACAAAAAATAATAAAGTAAGGACGTTTTTCACAATAATGATCAAAGATAATGACGTTATGTGCTAATTGCCATTCATCCTAATTAGTTTGCCTAATCTATGCTAGATAGGTATTGACTGAAATCATACTTTATTGGAAAAACTCATCTATTTTTTTGATAATTCAATTAATTAAGAAGTCAATTATTTTTCAAAACAATCGATCCTTCAAACAAGAGCGATTGTGTTCACTATTGGTCTAGTACCGTTTGGACTTACATGCAACGTTGAAACATGTCACTTGTTACGTACGACCATTCCATTTTCTAGCATCACATTTGGAAAAACGAGAGTTGAACATTTTTGACTCTATTATTTAGAGAGTATAGGAAAATTTTCAATTTTTTTTCTTTTTAGATTTTTCATGTTAAATACCTCTTTTGACCAGTAACCTTTTCGAGTTCATTTCATGCTCCACTTATTAAATTAATACTGATAAAACCAACCGTCAATATATTGGTTTTATAATTTTTTTTCATATCATTTTGTTATGTGATTTCACTTGAAATAAAAGAAATATCCTATTTATAAGTATGCATTATGAAGATATCATATCAACATATTTAATTGTCATAATTAAATATTGAACAATGATATTCATCATCATTGCTTGTTTGTGATATTATATTTAGATGGCTTTATTTGGCTAAGCATCTTAATTGTCATCTTAAATGTGAGATGAGATATGATATCCAGTTTTACCGTCAAAATGAATATTCATCCAATGAATTATTGACATGTCATCAATTTGATTTATTAGTAATAACGTTAATGAGAAAAATTTGAGATGATATATTAATTATTGATAACAAATCAATTAATGCTACATCATCGTATGAATATCAACTCTAATATTGTTTGCTTTTAAAAGGTATTAATGAAGGATGGGATATTAGTTAATTAATGAATTTACCATTTCCTTAAGCATTTGTAATAAACAAATTCAAATACTTGTCCAAGGGGCATTTTGCCTTTCCAAAATTTGATTTCTCATCTGATTTTTTTGGTTTGTTCAATTAAAGATGTTGTCTTCTTGATGTAGAAAAAGATTTAATTACAATGCTCTTTTATTTACCAGAAAATTTTTTTGAGGTAATATGTTACGATACAATTAACATTTATGGGGTATGAATTTAGTGCATATGTTTTTGGAATTGACCATGATTCTATCTAAATCTTAATCAATGACCATAATTGAAGAAATCAAATATGTGTGCTCAATTCAATATTTCCTTTCATTACAATGACCAAAATTAAGATTGAATAACTAAAATATAGAGGTTATGTGTCAAGTTCATTTGAGCGATTTAAGCTATCGCGTTGATCCAATTTGTTAGGAGTCTTAGCCTAATTGATGCTTTGAAAAATTTATACAACTATTCGTATTCTTAATCAAAATGTTTTGCATGTTATGTTTCACGACACTACGTACTCTGAAATATTTTGACGTGACAATTTTTGATTCTTCAAGATACATAAAAGAACACAAACAAGAATTTTATTTTATGGTTGTTCTATATATGCAAGATTTGGCTTGACTTTTGAGCTATACCAAGTTAAATGTGTAAGTGTTATATCCTAAATTCAATTTATCTTGGACATAAATACTTTACATAAATAGTTGATGCATTTCAATTACGATAGATCTATTATTTAATATTTTAATAAATCAAATAATAAAATTCATAGAATCAAATTTTGATAATTTATTAATCACAAGAAGTTGTGATTGTGAAATACAAATTATATATGATTGAATATTAAATTATCAGTGGTCGTAACTAAAAATGAGATACAGATATTGTTATTACTGATAGACCATTATATGTGGCATTTATTACTTATGAAATAACTGATCTTACAAACTAAAGTGTGGTAACACTTAAATGAACATGCAAATGTTTTGTTATAGGAGAAAACATTTGAGACCCACTAGGAAAATTCTACATGGATAACTATCCGAATGTCAAAAGTTAATCTCTAACGTTGGGTAGAGAAATTGGTGTTTTGACTTGAGGTCATCACAGTGCCTTATTTGAGGACAATCATGTTTTGATGATGTTGAATGTTGTTCTGCCAAGAGTCACTAATATGGTATCATACGGATATGTCAAGAATCATATAAAGGTTATGAATGATCAATTGATGATTTGTCGGTTTTAGATAGTAAGAGATTACGATCCATATTTCATTTAGTTAAGTTGATAACGTAATTTTTGTTTAAGGGGGTTTTTGACTTATATTGACTTAATGAAAGATATAATTGATACTTAAGATTGACACACATCCGTATCTCGTAATTGATCGGATCATATTGACAAAACAATTATAGTTTCACGATAAATAAACAAGTTTAATTTTGTCATACCACGTAACATGTCCCGTCACATGTGTTGCCTTGAAATATTGTTTGATGTCAATTTGGGATGACGAATATAAATTGGTGATGAATTAAAAATGGATATTTTAATTTATTGATTTTGATTAGATCAAAATAATAATTCATATCGTGAGACATCGTGATTAGGAATATAATGGGCCACACACAAAATGAAAACTAGAAGAATGAGATTTACCAATCAATTAATTGACAAGTGTTGGATAATTAATTAAATGACTTGCTTGTTAATATGCCCAAATTAATTGATTAATTAATTCATGAACCAAATTTAATTAATTGAATTAATTAAATATTGGATCGGATTAAGTCAAAAAGCGGGCCAAGTCTACTTAGACTTATATTAATAAGTCGCTAGGGTTTAAAAAATTCAGTATAGGACATAATTATTCTTGCTAGCACAGAAAAGAAAACCCTAATTCTCTTAATCTTGTTTCCTCTATGAATTTTCATTAGAAACTAGACAATCAGACAATTGTGGATTACTGATCGTGATTATTCGTGGAGGGATATTAATTGGGTTTGTCGGCTCGAGTTGTCCGTGGCTCAACCTAGAAAAAGCCCGCCTCGGGCTGAGCCCTATTTTGAGGTTTTGAGCTGAGCCCTCATCGGCCCGTGTGGCTCGTCGGCTCGAGCTCAGGCCTTCAAAAAAAGAAAAGAAGGCAGCTAGCTGTTGCCTTTCTTAAGGCAGAGCTAAGTGCCATAAAAAAAGGAGAAAAAATTGAGCGGGCTCGGCCCTTTTTTTGTCGAGCTTTTGTTCAGCTCGGACTCGAAAAAAGCCCATTGGATTTTACTCGAGTCGTGCCCGAGCCTTGAGTTTCGGTTCGACTCGTTGATATCTCTATTCATGGTAGAAGTTCAGCAAAGGAGCTTGCAGAATTTACAAAAAGGTATAATTCTTATCATAATTTTAATATAAAGACAAAGCAGATGTTTGGTGGAAATTGAAATGATTTTATTTTTCGTTTTGCATGATTAACTAAATTCCTAACAAATGGGACAAATTTAAAAAAGGAAAAGAAATACCAATACTGCCAATAACTTTGTAATCATCATGGCCAGCCGTTTCAGCTCACAGAAGAGTAAACAACGTGCCAATGCAATCCTAATAAATTAATATTTGAATTAGTGTACGTATGTACGTATAATTCTGTATATATAAAACATGAATTTCATTGTCGCGTTCGATTTTATTGGCTGAGAAGTGACAGCTGAGATTCTAACGTTAAAAATCTCGCAGAAATACATCAACACGTACGAAAATCGACCTCCTAAAATTCGCCATTTTCCTCCACGTTTCAACACCCGCCACAAAATATGTGCCGTCGCCGATTTGTCTGTTATCTTTTTGTCCATGTAAAAAGATTATACACAAACTTATTAGTTTTATAATTTGACTTTCTTCTTTTTCTGGGTTTGATTTCTTGGTTGTGCTATGAAAATTACTTATTCACACGCAAAAAACACAAGCATTTATGGGTTTTGATCAATTCGTGTCTTTATAACGTGTGAAAAAGGGAAAATATTATTTAGAGAGAGAGAGAGAGAGAGGGTGTGTGTGTGAGATAGAGGAGGGTTGTTGATCGTGTTCTCCTCCTTCTCTCTCTCTAGAATGATTTCTTGCATCATTTTGTATATAAATTTGTATGTTTGTGAGTAATTTCTCCACACTTTTGTTTATTGTAATACATTTAACGTTGTTTTGAGGAGGAGGATTTGAAGATAGGTAGATCATAGATGGGGGCATGTGTATCTCAGCATGAGAATTGTGTAGGAGGTGATTTCGGAGTTTCGAAGAAGAAGAAGAAACATGAAAAGAGAAGAAAAACTGTGAGGAAAAGTGATACTACTCATTTACATGATAGATCCTTGGATAAAGTTGATCGGGTCGACAGTTCCATTTTTCATGGTTATACTCTTTCTCTGTGTGTATGTGTGTGTTACACTGTGTTTAGAGTTTTGATGTATAATTGGGTCGTAATTTTTATTGATGGTGTTGATTATTTCTTCATCTGTTTTCGGGTCGGGGATTAAGTAATTTAATTGATGAGGTTGTGATTTATAATTTATGAAGCAGAGTATCACTGGTGAAACAAAATGTAGGATTATAGAGGAACTCAAGCCTGGAAAAATAAAATTTTGAGAAAAAGAAGCAATGGAAAAATGGATATGAATGGAACTCTGAGATCATCTTGTGTTGTCTACCTTGGCATATGTTACTTTGAAGTTTCAAAATATTCAGTTTTGGACACAAAAGAAGCAGGAGATTAATTCATCTTTGCGAGCCATTTCTGAGTGATTGATTTGTTGAAGCCACCTTAATTGAGCTATAAACTTGTTATTCTTGAAACTTGTCATATGAAATTTGGACTAGGACCATCTTGTGCATCAGAGTTCATAATTGGTGTTCTTAGGTTATAGTGAATGATGAAAAGATCGCGAAAAGTGAAGATTTATATAATTATGGTGCTTAAGATTGAGCTACTTATCTAGTAAAAAGCATTTGTTGTTGATACATACAATGGAGCATATTATTTGAAGAAGCTGATCATTGCTTAGCTTTGGGGACGAGTCTGCGTGCACGCGGGCACTTGCGCACGCACATGCACACAGTTGTCTCTGAAATTGTTAAGTAGGAAACGTCAAATCACTCAAATGGTCTTTGTCAAGGGAAAATGTAAATATCTTTGTAGTTTCTTTTCATAGTGTATTACATTCTTAGCACAGCTTTTAAATTAGTTATTGAACAATAGAGTATTACAGCTTCAATCACAGGAATTCATAATTACTTTTCACTCCAATTCTAGCCATTTTTTTTTTTTCAAAAAATTTGTTCGTAATTACACACTGGTATATGATGAAACACACTTTGATTTTATCCCTGATCAAATAAATATGCATCATTTATACCTTGAGTTACTTCGAAATGTAATTGACTAGAAGCATTTATTTGCTTGATGATGGCACTACCAGGGAGTGTTGAAGAATCATGGTTTGATCCTGCTACTGTACTTGAATCTGACTGTAGCGATGAAGATTATCAAAGCGTTCCCGATGGTATTTTGAAATATGATTTGCTAGCTACAACTGAATATTGATGTTTCTTGTTAAACTTCGAACATGATTTATTTCTTCAGACATGCTCTCTCTAAGTGGCTTTGATGTTACATCCATTTCTCCAAAGGATGGTGATGCCAATTTTCGACATGTTTCTTCCCTTGAACAGACAGGGGACTTTTCAAGGGGAAATTCTTCTCGCGAATCTGTCAACGGAACAGCTAGAAGTTCAATTCATCCCAGTGATCCTGATTTCCGAGTGAAATCTGATGAACCACAGATGGAACCAGTATTCATCGATGAAATCTTGTGCTCGGCTGGAGAAAATGCTGGCTTGTTGGATAATAGAGGAATTCTCCCGAACAACTGTTTGCCTTGTCTTGCTTCTACAGTTCCCTCAACTGAAAAGAGAGTATCCCTAAGCTCTAGTCCTACAAGTGCAAGGAAAAAGGCTGCCTTGAGACTCTCCTTCAAATCAAGTGAAGGACGTCCTGCTTGCATTTTACGTGAGTACTCGGATTGTTAGCGTCAAATACTCGGATTTTCAGTTTAGTCTAGAGCATTTCATATTGTTGATCCTACCACATTCGTTCCGCAAAAATTTATTTCTTGATCAACAAGAGAAGTATAACATCTAATATTGTTCTTACCCACTATTGTATTGTGTTATTACTTCATCAAATCAAAGTTTCAATAATGGAAGTTGTGGGCTGAGGATTTAGATAATTTCTTTTGTCTGAACTTCTCATAACAGCCCCAATTCATTCACGATAATCGTGTTATATGAAATATGAATGTCTTTTCTTTTATGATTTGCAGTTTCTTCAAAGGTACTTCTGCAAAGACCAATAGCTGGTTCACAAGTACCATTTTGTCCCCTTGGGAAGAGAGTTAATGATAGTTGGTCCAACATTGACCCAGGTACTTTCAAGGTTAGGGGAGAGACCTATTTCAGGTAAGGAATTGTAGTCATTTTTTAACATTTTGACTGATAATTTCCACTGGTGACTTTGTGTCCATGAATCGTTTTGCCGCTTCCTATCAATAACCATTTTTTCTATGTTTCTTTCATGTGGAACAATTTCTTTGCAGGGATAAAAGGAAAGTGCATGCTTCAAATTATGCTGCATATTATCCTTTTGGCGTTGATGTATTTTTATCTCCGAGAAAAATTGATCACATTGCTCGGTTTGTGGAACTTCCTTTTATGAATTCTTCAGCGAAGCTTCCACCCATTCTCGTTGTGAATGTTCAGGTATTACCACCTATACCTTATTTAGAGTGACTTGGATGCAAAAATGGGTTTGATATGTTTATTTTACTATATTGCCGACCCACTTGTGAATACAATTCTTCTTTTTTGCAAATAATTCTGCTATTCTCTGACATTTACATTCATTTCAAATTTAAGACAAATTTGTTTCTTAACGTATTGTATCATAAGCAGTTGAATGTGATAATTTCTCTCCGAACTCTTTTGCACATTGCTTCTCTATGCTTTAAAAAGTGACTGTCTGATTTTATATTCTTTAGAGTAATATTGGCGTGCTTCTTTCATTTTACAGATACCATTATACCCTGCTGCAATGTTCCAGTGTGAAACAGACGGGGAAGGAATAAATTTTGTTCTGTACTTTAAGCTTTCCGAAACCTATACTAAGGAACTTTCGGCCCTGTTTCAAGAAAATATTAGGGTAAGCTGAAATTTATGAATTCAATTTAGTTTTTTTATTCTATGAACTTACATGATTGTTCCATTTGTTGCTTGACAAATTCTGTTTTTTACTGTGTTCTTGGAATTTTTGAGTCACTGTATTCAATGGCTTGTTTTTTTTTCTTTTTTTTTCTTTTTCACGTATATATTTTCAATTCTTCGTATGCAGAGTTTAATTGATGACAAAGTAGAGAAAGTTAAAGGTTTTCGTGCAGAGACGGATGTACCCTTTAGGGAAAGGTTAAAGATATTGGGTCGTGTTGTAAATGTTGAAGACCTTCCTCTAGGTGCAGCAGAGAGGAAGCTCATGAATGCCTACAATGAGAAACCCGTTCTTTCACGTCCGCAACATGAATTTTACTCGGTAAGTTTGAGCCCATTGTCCAGTAGCTAATTTCATTATGACTGGGTTTTAAGAGACAACAAAAGTCCAATATTGGAATTGTCTTGGTGAATATTAATCTATCATTTCCCTGGGATAAACTTTAGGTCAGATTCAAGGGAATTTTTGCATAAAAAATTACAGCCATAACTTTCACTAACTAGGAGCAAGTTCTTCGAATCTCAGGGCTATTTTTGATTTTGCAGGGTGAAAATTATTTTGAGATTGATTTGGATATGCATAGATTCAGCTACATTTCTAGGAAAGGTTTTGAAACATTCATGGATCGGCTAAAGCTATGTGTCTTGGACGTTGGACTTACAATTCAGGCAAGTGCTTATATTTTAAATACTTGATAAATTTTAATAGGTACTTCACGTTCTATTTCAATTTCTTCTACTTTTCCAAGAAATCTGGTGGACTTGTCATGTTAATATATGCTTTCTGTTATTAAATGCCAGGGTAACAAAGCCGAAGAATTGCCTGAGCAGATCTTGTGTTGTATACGGTTGAATGAAATCAATTATAAGAATTACCAACAATTGAGGTCTTTTCAAGCACCTCTTGAGTAGGTGTTCAAATAGCGTGAGCATCAGGGATAATGATGAATAAATGCAATTTTTTTGGTATCTAGTCCTTCTCTCTCTCTCGATTTTCAATAGTTAAATATCGACATGTGCCTTCACATTATCACTTTACATGTATATGATGCTTTATCCATGGTCCATAGAGAGTGTGGGAACATCTTAATCTCAATGAGATGGCTAAAATGATACATCTTATACTCTTTCTCTCAGAAGACGCTTGTTTATCTTAATTGCCTATCATTGGAAACATTTATTGGTATAAAGTTGAGCATATATTGGAAAAGAATGCTAATATTCAACAAGTTAATTCTGCTATGTTGGAATCTCACTCCATTGAATTGATGGTGATTGTTGACTCACTGTCATAATGGTGGATTTCTTTTGAAAGTCTGACTATAGGAAATACTTAGGTGCAGCTCCGATCTAAGATATTTGTATATGCTTACCATTCTACCTTGTATTTATTGGTGTAAATGGACTGTGCCTGCATTTTAGGCCTGTAAAAAAAAAATAGAAATCTAAAAATTTGCTTGTGTATCTCTATCGGCCTTGCATATCATTCTCTGTCAAATTATTTGAGCTTTTCAAACAATACACAAAAGTTACATTGTGTTGACTTTGCTATTCAAGAAAAGGAAGCTGAAGATCAAGCTCTACAGGGGGAAAGGGGTTTACCACATAAACCGGTGTTCTGCAAGTAAGAGCTTTTAGGAAAATCGATCAAAGGTTTCCCAAAAGGAATTTCTCCGATGAGCATGTTATTTGAAAGATTTAACTCCTCCAGTTTTCTCAGCTTCAGGAATTCATTAGGTATGTTACCTGTCAAATAATTCTTTTGCAGCTTCAGCCTCTCCAAGGAAGTTGCATTCCCCAACGACGGTGGCAATTCAGATTCTATGTTATTGTAGCTCAAATCCAAAATTTGCATTGATCCTAATGTTCCTATGGAAGTAGGCATTTTACCGTTGAGGAAATTGTGCGATAAATTTAGGTCCTGAATCTCCTGTTGCATCCCCTTGCCAATCTGTTCAATTCCAGTTGAGAAACGATTATCTGAAAGGTCAATGTATGTTAGTGATCCACCACCAAATCTGGTTTGTATTTCAAAAACCCAATGTACAGAACCTTCTAGCTTGTTTGCATGAAGGTCTATTACTCCGAGGTTTACTAGGTTTGTGATCGTACTTGGAATCTCTCCGACAAGAGAATTGCCCCCAAGGTTTAGTAAGTAGAGTTCTGTTAGGCTCCCGATGAGTGCAGGTATGTTTCCAGTAAGATTATTGTCTGAGAAATCCATCACCTGCAGTGAACTCGAAGTCGATTGCAAATATTCTGTTAATTCGCCTTGAATTCTGCAGCTCGCCAAGCGAATTTGGGACAGTGATGGCAATTTTAGGAGCCAGTCAGGGATCGAAGAAAGGTTTAATCTGTTAAAAGACAGATCAAGCGTTTGAAGATTTATAAGGGAAGCCATTTCTTGGGGTAATGGTTCTTGAATCATATTGTTAGAAATATTTAGTATAAGTAGCTGAGAGAGTTGTCCTAATGAACTTGGTATTTGTCCGGATAATTGATTTCCATTTACATACAACTCTGTTAAAGACCGAAGATTTCCTAAACTGGTAGGAATCGATCCATCGAGCTTATTATTCGCCAAGGAAACTCGTTCGAGAGAGGTCAGGTATCCTAAAGAGTCAGGTATTCTGCCCATGAGTAGATTATCGTGCAGTCTGAGGAATCGTAGTGCAGGCATTTGCTCAGAGCTAAAGGGTTGTGGAATCTCCCCTTCAAGTTTGTTATTGTTTAGGTAAATAACAGAAATGGCCTTTAATTTAGTTATGGAAGAAGGAACCCTTCCAATTAATGAGTTGTTTGATAGATCTAGCTCTTTCAAAGCCTGCAAATCACCAATATTATCTGGTATATGTTGAGACAGCAAATTGTTCTGAAAGTTTAAGGTTTTAAGATGTGTCAGATTCGCTATAGAGTCTGGTATAAGACCTGTATATCTATTTGAATGCAAATCCAAGAATCTGAGACATTTAAGGTTTCCAAGGCTTTCAGGGAGAGAACCCGAAAAACTGTTCTCATGAAGATACATTACTTCAAGATTGGATAACTTACCGATGCTTTCTGGTAGTCGACCTTCGAGTTTATTCCCGAAAAGAGAAAGTTTTTTGAGTTTTGGTAGACGGAAGCCGATAGATGGAGGAATGTTACCAGTTAGGCCAGCGAGTCCACTGAGATCAATGACTTCAAGGGAACTCAGAAGAGTAATGGAATTAGACAAATAGCCTTTCATACTTGTCTGAACAGGAGAATCATCTGACGAAGTGAAAAAACCTGGGAGATTAATCTGTATCACTCTACCAGTTGTGTTGCTGCAAGAAATGCCTTCCCATTTGCAGCAGTCATGGCCAATCCATTTCCCGAGGCGCCCTGAATCGTCCAACCGAATCGCAGCCTTGAATCTTGTTAAACCCTTGAGGTCATTGGGATGGCAGGTTTCACTACTAACTTGCCTGCTTTCTCCTGTGGTTATGAGAGTGAAGATTGCAAGGAAATACCAAACTTGAGAGCCCATTTGTCTACACTGTAGATTGTTTGTTTATCAATAACTCCTCTCTCCAGACTCCAGTTGTAGTGATTATGGAAGATCAAACCAGATAGTCCAATGAACTAATAAGTTTCCAAAAATAACTTTAAAGTTTTTTTCTATTTTTTTTTCCTACTTATAAGCAACTTAAAAGTCTAGCCAAACATATTTTCAGTACGATCTGTTGAAAAATAGCCAATGGCAAAATGCATGTTGGTCAAAGATTTAGCAATCATTTTCTTTTCTTCTTTTTCACTTTACAGTTTGTAATGCTGAAAAGCATAAATATGTCTGAATTATGATGTCTTCGGACGCTTTTAGGTTGTTTAATGTAACTGAAACTGCAGATATATGTACAAGATGAATGTCAGTACGTTGGACTTTTCCCTCCTAATAGCTTTCATGGAAAACTGAACAGAATCTTAGTCTTTCTCCAGTGCCTAGAAGTGCCAAAAGTATATGTAACTCCAATTTTGCTTTTGGCATGAAGCCTTGCTACCTAACTTCTTCATCCCCGATACATTTACGGACACTCCTATTAAGACAGTATCTGTCTCTGACACGTGTATTTAATTTAGGGCACTCTTTGAAAAAGTCTGGGACATCCCATGTGACGAGTCATATATTGAAAACGTATAAAGTCAAGAAATAAATATATAAATATAAAATTATAAAGATTTTAAATCAAAGTCACGTATGTATCAATATATTAACTTTTTTTTTGATATTATTAAGTTACGTGTTTAATAAATTCATATCGGATTGTGACATGTTTGTATCTTTACTTTTTAGATTATTACTTGTAGTATGTTTCTGATCTCTGTCTAGTATCAAAGCTAAAAATCCTCCAGCTACTTTGATCAATTCATGTCAATTTATGAAAGGGCTACACTTGCTGTACACTCTAACAGCCCCCTCACATGAAGAGGCCCACAGATTAGGAATTTTCCTTTATGAAAATGCTGTGAATTCAAGAAACAAACTGCATTGCCTTTTAAAAAAGGCATGGTAACTTGAGTTTCCTCCAATTAAGCATGCTTGTCCGGTGATTGCTTCAATTCATGGTACATTTAAAAACTAGTTAGGTACAATGAACCGGACCGTGGTCAACATAATAATTCATAGAATTTATTAATTTGTTAGTTCTATTACGATATTTTAGTTTAATGTGCTAAATTTGGTACAACAGACTACTTAAATTTAGTGAAATACACTTTTAATCGTTTCTTATCTTTTTGGTTTTATCCCAACAATTAATTATTTTTAGGCCTGTTTGAGTACGAGATAAAATTCGACCAACAATTTTAACTTCTTATTTAACACCTGTTTGAGCCTCGTTTTTGATTGAGAATACATTTTGAAATAGTAAATTGATAAAGAATGTGCAATTAAAAATAAGAAAAATTTTGAATTTGCGTGTAAGATTTATTTTTGCCATTTCTAATGAAAAAGTTAGGACAATCTATTGATTTCTGGCCATTGTTTTTCTACCGACAAGTAACATGTCTCCATATTTTGTTATTTTCGGTGTTAAAACATGGGAGTTTATGCGCACTCCTATGAGACTGTCTTTGTTTAACCGTCACTTAAAAATAAAATTAATTAATCTCTGTCAATAAGACAACATAAACTAATCAAACAAACAAAAATAGATTAATCTCAGTCAAATACTACTTGAATTGGTTTTGCCAAAAATTACTAGAGATTGAGCCGTTTTCCAGTTTTTCATGAAAAGAGTTTCCCTCTCATTTCATTTCTACGTTACAAAGAATATGATCAATCCAATGTCAAGATTCAAGAAAATCACATATAATTTCTCAAAGACACAGGACTTAATTAAAATCGTTTATAGTGTAATTTATATCTAAGATGACTGATATGGATAAGGATAAGTGACTTCTTACACCTAGTCTTTGACTAAAAGCATCATTTCCATTATTATAGTTGACGTCAAAATCGACTAACATTTAAAAGGTTTAAGAATCTTCATGCATTGTAGATTTTGGAGATTGACCTGCAAAAGAATACATAATTAGGTGACATTGAGGCACACTAGCAAAGGCTCTCTAGCACTCGAGTTGGTTGAGGGATTCGAATATAATGCGTTAATGCACACAAATCAATTACTTTCATGAAAGTAGAATAATGTTATTCATAAGTGGTGCTTACAGTTACCGGTAAGCTATGGTGTGATATTTAGATGACATTATTTTATTTGCCATCTTAATTGTCATTTAAGTTGATAAATCTATTAATGTCATTTAAATGTAAGTATGTGTTTCGCGCGGGTTAGTCGCTAACAATTAAAAAGGATCAGACGATTGTGTAAGGGACAAACCTCTTGAGACAAAGTCCCAAAAAAGGGTGTTCTTTATTGGCGGTGACTTTACAATCGGAAATTAAAAACAGAATGCCTCCAAGGGGCGCAAGCACACGAGTTACTGAAAAAAGTGTTTAAATCTAAGCTAAGAAATTTAAAATTACATGTTCTTTGTTTGAGAGTTTTTGATTCGGTCTCCTTTGCTCTATGTCCTTCCTTCCTTTTATATTCCTTGAATGATCTCTTTGTGATCAACCGCCTAAAAACTGCTGGATTGTTCTATAACTGTCCACTTTTCTCGTAATGGCCAACTTGTCATGGAACTACCTTTTTTAACTGCTGCCATTACTCTTTGTCGTTCAACCGTCTTCAATTAAGTTCCTTGAATCGTGGAACGTGATAGGGCTGTTTTAATAACTGCTTTGATAACTGCACTTCTTGATAACCACAACACTTCATGTTTGCTAAGACCTTGGGCGACTCAAAGGTTTGGGCAAGAATAGAGTAACAGCTCTGGGCGACTGCATGGCACTCAATTCACTTAGATTCTGGGCGACTTGCAAACTTGAGCGATGATCTTACCGCGTTCCTAGGCTTCCCTATTTGGGCCTTCATCTTGAATTGTCTAATTAGGCTCGTTCTTTGGGCTATCTAATTTGGGGATCCTCCAACTGGGCTTCATTTCTTGGGCCGTTCGATTTGGGCTGAATTTTTATGTGTCAACAATTATCCCCCAATATGACAGAATTAATACCAATTATTAAATTTTGCCATATTCACTTTGTGTTTTCAGCAACATTCGAAATTCCCAAGAATTTCAATCATTGTTTTCTTCCATAACTTGAAAAGGTGCGACGTTTTGCAAACCCTTATAATCCCCAAACACGCCATTTCATTGCACTATTAAATCACGCCTCACTTTTTCGCGTTTCTCTCCCACGATTTACTGTTCATCTTTTTGCTTCCCTATTACGTAACTCTGAAAAAACTTCGTTTCATCCCTAATGGCTACTTCACAATCTCAATCTGGCGACTCCTTTAGTTTTGATGACTTTCAGAAACTTCTGAATCGTCCATACATAACTCCGAACTTTCTCGCGCCTGCCAATGTCGAACTCAATGAGTTCTACCTAGGTCCTTTCTTCAACAATGCAGAGGCAGTCGAACAGGCGGCGGTGGGCCAGCTGTTTCCTTGTACTCAAGGCCCTCCATTTCTAAACTCTCTGCCGCTGGGGCCACTTCGCGAAAGAGGTATTCGCACTTGGCCTAAATCTGATGTAGTTTTCCGTATGTGGCATGCTCGCCTTGTGGACCATGATCTTACTAAGGCACTTTTTGATAATGCTAGGATTTCTAATTTGTTAGAAATCTCTCTTCAACCCCCTACTTTTGATTCAGCACTTTTTTCGATCGTTTTGAGTTTTCGGTCTTCTGAGTATAATACCTTTATTTTCCCTCTTGGCCCCATGTCTATTACTTTAAGGGATGTTGGGGCCCTAGTGAATTTGCCACCTTTGGGCGATATCATTTTTCCTGGTATCTTGGTTTCTGGTGGTGCCCCAAAGTTTGGTAGAAACCTTACCGAGTCTTATTCAAGCCTGCAAACCCTTCATAATCATTCGAGCGCTGAGCCTTCCCATACTGAGCGAGTGGCCTTTCTTTGTGTGTGCCAAGCATAAAGCCCTCCCTGAGTTATTTACCCATAGCACACGAATTGACGCGTGGCAAGCCTTTGAATTTATGTTCTTTCTTTTTGGCTGCCCTTTATAGAGGCATGACTTCTCTTCAAACTCAATTGAAGAATGGTGCATCTCCCACTGGTAATGGACCTCTTTGGTTCACTCAAATGTGGTTGAGATCCTATTTTCCATTGCTTGGTGCTCCATCAATTTCTCGTTCTTCTGCTAGCTGCTATGGGCTAGTCATTGAGCCCTTGGCTCTTGTAAATATGTCTAGAAGGGACATTTTTTTATTCTTTTATTCTTTGGATTCAATCCTTTCCTTCTTTCCTTTTCCTCCATTTTTGACTCCAAACTATGTGCATCATCCCTCCACTATAGACAGCGCGAGCACCTCTCTGCTCATTTGGATCCAGTTTTTAATCGGGAGGGAGTTATTTCATGATATTTTGACTGGGACCAATGCCAAGGCAGGGGTAGAAATATATGCTCCCCAATTTTTTGCTCGCCAACTTGGTTTCGACCAAACTTGGCCTGTTCCTCCTTACTATTCAAGGAACTTGATTGACCTCTTCCATATTATTAATAAGGTGGAGGCAAAGGTTATAAATGCTCGCAATCTTCTTTTAACAAGCTATTTTTCATTAGCCCCCTTCAATTCTAGCCATGCCATCCATCCCCTTTTTGAACAGCTCTAGGCGTCAGTAAGCGCAGATTGTTTGCGACTGATGCCAATCGTGCCTTTCATTCACTGGACCAGCCAAGCATTTCTTCCTCTCCTTCTGTTTTAGTCACTCCTTTGTCCATCCGGAGTCTTTCTCCTCCTCGTCGCGCTAAACAGTCTGCTCGTCCATCTTCTTCTCTCCCTGCCAAGCCTACTGCAGCCAAAAGTGCCCCAAGCCGCAAACGGCCAGCCTCAACATCTCCCATTCTGGAGGATGATGTTGATGATGATGATGATACCCCTCTTATCATCAGGAGGAAGGTAATTAAATTGGTTTACTCACAAGCATACTTTTCCATACTTGAAACTTTTCTGTGTGTTGATGATTTATTTGGACTTCTCAGAAAAGTTCAGCCTCTCCTTTAAAGGTTTTGGTATCGGCAGCTCCTGCTCCATCATCCTCCGCTGAGGCTGCTTCATCCAAACCAGCTGATGAAGGGACTACGCTTAAAGAGACATCTTCAGTCCCAGAATCCTCATCACAACCAATGGAAGAGCCACCTTCTTCCCAGGGTGTCAACCCCCCAAACATCGAAACAGAAGGTAATTCAATTTTTTTTATGCTTTACTTTTGCTTGTGTTTTTGGCTTCTGATTTGTTACTTTTGAGTTCTGCAGATGCTCCTATGAGTCTGCCCGTTGTGGCAACATCTTCTCGCTCAGATAAGGGGAAGTGCTCAC